GTGCGTGTACGTATATACGTACGTATATGTGTATATCTCACTCATTAAACTACACTATCCCACATACAACTTTTCTCTCATTGGCTGCACCAACAAAATGTCGGATGCACAGAAGAGATAGACGCAAAACAAATAACAGAGTGGATTCTACTCTATCCACACAAAAAATAAGTCCCAAACATTCACCGACATTCGGAATACAATAGATTAGTGCTCGGAATTAGTTGCACATTTCGGGCAGATTTTCTAGGCAACGCCTACTGTTCCCCACTACGGTCAATATTGGCCAAAGCTCGAAGCCTTACGTTAAGATAAGGCCCAGCGTCTTACGCGCGATTGGCAGCTCGGCCGTCGAGCTTTGGCCAATATTGACCGTAGTGGGGGACAGTAGGCGTTGCCTAGAAAATCTGCCCGAAATGTGCAACACTGTAATAGATGTACTATTTCAACTTTCAGCTTAAGATTGATTCAAAACCAAAAGTTCTCGACGAGCAGTTTATTGTGTTGAAAAAAGATGTACCATACGCGCAAAAATATTATTAGGTACTAAGATTTGGCACGACCATATAAAACGTTGTTATTATTTGCTATTCACTTATTAATACTTGTAAGTAGCTTCCATCGTAAAAATTCAATCTTTTACAAAAAGTATCCAAACTCTGAAAATAAAGTGTTATTTGTAATCGTATATTACTGTGTTATTTTTGTTATATTTAATTTCACCAATTGACAATCTCATATTTGTAATCATCAAAACATAATATATTAATAATTGTCGCTTTATACAAATGTTTTGATTAAAAACACATATTAAAATTTCTAGTAAAATACTTATAACAAGTTGAAAGTCATATTTGATTCAGGTCTGAGTCCATTTGGATTAGAGTATTATCCTCTTGTGTTCCGAGGTACTCATAAAAGGTTCAAACCCGTTTCATCCAGGTTTGAGTTTACTTGTAATTACTGCTTTAATTTTTTCGAAGTAATCACAGAGAGTTCGAAATTATAGAAACATATTCGAATCCTACTGTGGAATACTTAATTCTTCACAGAGAAAAATGTCCGATTAAATATAATCGAATAATCCAATTACATAATAACAAACAAATATATCCGATGAGAAATACAATATGGCCGGTTTTTTAATCAAATTTGGTAACTACATTTTATGACATCGGATAAATTTCATCGTTCAATCGGAAACGCTATTTAATTGATTTATCTGATGCAAATTTTTTTCAGTGCATCACTAATTATAAATAATATTGCAGTACTTATCAGTTCGACAAATCATCGCCGCAAGTCGAGAATATTCCTCAATTCTGAATAAACCAAATCTTTTTCAACTTTTTATATTGCAAGTTAAACGAAACATCTCGCGTGTGTGCATTCGATCAATTTTCTATATAAAAATTAATGCACAAAATGCCATCAGACATTATCGAGTCCAGAGCGAATTGTCACTCGTTCTCTAGTTTGCAGTAATAAATTTCGCACCTGGCGTATTTGCATGTTCGCTCACATGCAAGCGAGAACACAGCGTGATTTTCCTTTCAAATGATATGCCAATCAGTTCAACGGGATTTTTCACTAGCGCACGGATGTCCAGTAGTTTATTCGGTGTGAGGAATGTATAATATATGTTACAGGATAAAGCCGCATCCGCGCAAAACCGTTCCGGACTACTTGAAAAGTAATATTACCCTCGTCGAGTCCCACGTGTCTGATTTCTTAAAGACGTATATGGTATATGCTGCATTTTTTTATGTATTTAAACGGGAACATTTTGAAAGAGAAAGGAGAATATGCCCAAAACTTTATAGCGAAATGACTATAAAGTTTTGGGCATTTGGCATCCATTAATGGGTGTCGTAGAATAGGTCTCACCTAATAGAACAAAAGTTCCAGTGGTTATACAACTCGATTGGTGCACGAGGTCAAGAGTTACAGAGCAAAGACAAAAAAGTTTTGTAATACAATCACGAGACACGGTGGTGTCTCGTACTAAGTGCATTGGCTAAACATTGGCCCAATACAAGCAAATATTGGGCCAATGTGTAACCAATGTTGGTCAATGCACTGTGCTAGGATTGTTGCTCACATTATAAATATTATATGTCATGTAAAATAAGAGGACAGAAACGATATCGACTTTACATTCTGCATACATCAAACTTGGGCGGATATCATCAATCATATCAGTCGTCCAAGTACTGAATTAATATGTATTAATCAATAGTACGCTAATCTGCGTTCTTCGTGAATGTGGAAAGAGATCGGGAATGGAATTTTAAACAAGTGCCCGCGGTCGAGAATTCGAAAGTCAGACCATTCGGGAGTCACAATGGCTCCTCAATTTCTAGATCGGCGAAACTCTTGCCTCGCCGAGAAAAATTCCATCCGCGGGAGGAACGTTCGAAAACGCACGTCATTTACGCTGACGTAACATATGATTTCCTCGTGAGAATGACCGCGCCGGTTAGAAC